GCTTCGTCGAGGCCCACCGCCGCCTCCTCCTTCTACTACTATCCTCTCAGTGGGTCCCCGATGATTTCACTGCCAACAACCTCATAGCCCGGCTCCTCGATTCTCGTCGAACACCAAATCTCACCCTCCAGCTCATCAATCAGCTCAATTTCTGTAGCCCTGATTTCCTTCCTTCGTTGATTAACTATAATCGGCTAATTGACCAGTTTTGTTACTTGGGTCAGGTATCAGAAGCTCGAAGTTTGTTGGGGTGCATGTTGAGTAGAGGGCGCAGGCCTGACGTGGTTTCTTACACTACGTTGGTTAATGGGTATGTGAGAATTGGGCAGTTGGATGATGCACACAAGGTGTTTGATGAAATGTCACAGTTGGGTATTTCGCCGAATTCGTTGACTTTGAGCATTTTGATCAAAGGGGTTTTTAGGAAGAGGAGGGTGGAGGAGGGGAAGGAGTTAATGGTGAAGCTCTGGGCGAAGATGAGAGAGGAGAAGAACGAACATCCGTCTGTGAAAAATGCTGCATTTGCGAATTTGATTGATTCTTTGTGTCGAGAAGGGTTTTTCCATGAGGTTTTTAGAATTGCGGAGGCAATGCCACAGGGGATATTGGTAAATGAGGAGTTTGCTTATGGTCAGATGATCGATTCGCTTTGTAGAGCTGGAAGGCATCATGGAGCTTCGAGAATTGTTTATATAATGAGGAAGAGAGGGTTTTTTCCGAGCTTGGTTTCATATAATAGTATAGTTCATGGATTAAGCAAGAGGAAAGGTTGTATGAGAGCTTATCAGTTGTTTAAAGAAGGGATTGAGTTTGGGTATTTGCTACCGGAACCTACATATAAAGTACTTGTGGAGAGTCTTTGCAGAGAGAGGGATCTTAACAAAGCTAAGGATGTAACAGAGTTCACGTTAGGGATCAGTGGTGCTGATAAAACTAAAGTTTATAACATATTTTTAAGTGCTCTTCGTTTTGTCGACAGTCCGAGTGAACAACTCAATGTTCTTATATCGATGCTTCGTAAGCAATGTAAACCGGATATTGTCACACTTAACACTATTATTCATGGCTTCTGCAAGATTCGGAAGGTTACTGAAGCTAAAAAGATACTAAATGACATGTTAGATGGCAAATTTTGTGCTCCTGATGTGGTTACCTTTACTACGGTTATTGGTGGACTTCTTGATGTGGGAAAAACCGAAGAAGCCCTTCATCTCCTAAACCGAGTAATGCCTGATTGCTCGTGTTCTCCTAATGTTGTCACTTACAATGTGGTTCTTTTTGGATTGTGTAAGCTAAAAAAAGCTTGTGAGGCAATGGAAATTTTCAAACACATGGAAGGCAAGGGCATTTCCCCTGACAGTACTACATATACTGCAATAATCGAAGGGTTGTGTGAAGTGGGTCAGCTCGAGGAGGCAAAAGGGTTTTGGGATGATGTTATATGGCCTTCTAAGATTCATGATGACTATGTTTATGCTGCAATTCTTAGAGGTTTATGCCGTTTAGAGAAATTTGAGGCTGCCTGTGATTTCTTATATGAGTTGGTAGATTGTGGTATTTGTCCAGGGATTGTAAACTATAATATCCTTATTGATGCTGCTTGTATGGTTGGATTAAAGAAGGAGGCTTATCAGCTATTGGGTGAGATGAGGAAGAATGGATTGAAGCCGGATGCTGTGACGTGGAGGATTTTAGGTAAGTTGCATGGAAAGAAAACAAAGATGCATGTTGATGGAAATAGATGTTTAGAAACCGAGAATCAAGTAAGTGTAGAAGGAGAATTGGAGAATAATACTGGGAAAATTGTGGATCATGAGGTGGATGATTACGATGAGAATAAAAAGCATGGAGAACCACTAGAAGGCCTTGTAGATTCATGTTTCTCCACTGGAAGTTTAGAAGATATAATAAATGAGGAGCCTACTGTTACAAGAAAGGTTGATCTTGATCCAAAGAAGGAAGAATCACCAAAAGTGAATAAGAAGGAACCCTTATCAAGGATTGCTAGGAGGGTTTTTGAGATCCTCTGAGAGAAGATGTACAGGAAAAGCTAACTTAGAACAAAAAATAGTGTAAACTTTTGTGCAATGGAAACTTGTTTACATGAGTGAGCAAGACTTTATCCTAAAACTAGGATGTGAATGCTGATTATTGATAAATTTTATGGTGCAGATTGAGAATAAGGCATAGATTTGTTGGAATGCCATGCTAGTTATATATATTAAAAACGGATTTGGCATTTGAGTTTCGACAACTCTTACTGGTTATTAGTTCTTTGACAGGACTTTGATGCACATCTCTTTCATTGACTACTGAAGCTATAGGAAGAGGAATATGAACAAGTTGAAGAGATCAGCTGGGGCCTAAATGATTGAACTTGTCAGAATCTGAGGGGATTCTAGGAGATGGAACTAGGATGCACTCTGCATACAATAAAGACAAGTTTGAATATGAATTAAATGGTCTGGTGGATAGTCATTGAGGCATCAAAATATATTTTCTTCTCTGCTAAACCAACTAAAGACGGATAAAGCAAACGACTGTAGAGCTTGAACATATCTATCATATATCAATGAAGATCTACATTCATCTTTTTGTCTTGTGCTTCAGCATTGTTTGTCCACCTGCTGATGAAATTTGCAGCCATTTTTCTGTTTCCACTGTAGTGAATCCACTTCACAATTTCATGTCCAGAATTTCGTTGATGAAGGTAAATACGGAAGACAAAGGGAGATTCATCACTTCGCAGTGTCATTTATCATGCCTTCAACAATGGTGTTATCTTCCCACTACCTAAAGATCCCTCTGTAAGGACCAAAGAAGTTTTTTAAATGATTCATACTGTTATTAAGATTCTTCTGCTTTAGTAAAATTGCAATTTTGATTCGCATTGAGAATCTTTCAAAGATGAATGTATAAAACTGGAATTGATAGGATCAGAATTAATATGATTAGAAGGATGAAGATATATTAGCATTTAAGTTGAAGTCTTGAAACCTGTTGAAAGGTTGAACATGGTTCTGTACGTTTGTTGTACTATATCTGGACATGTCTATGGGTACATGAAGGCAATTTAAGTTCATGTGTGAGAATCATAGTGAAAATGTCTTCTTGTTTATGATTTTTAAATATTGATTACATTACTAATATTAGCCCTCTTAACATTCTAGCTTAATATGCTCTATAGAATATGTTGTCTTACATTGTGATTGGTGAGTCCAGGAGTGATATTATCCTAACTTTCCCATTTTATCAGGCTTTGTGACAGATGAAGATATTGAACAAAGAGAATTCAATTTATACGATGGTATCAGAAGTGACATTTTCCAGTGAAACATAATACAACTGTTGACATATCACATTGATATCGTACTCAGCTCGACAGCCTCTTTTCATATAAGGAGCACTAATAAGATCTCCAGGTACTGAATTGCTAATACTTCTTAGTTTAATAATGTACTTTCAGATCGCTACACATGTATGGTTAGTGAATTGCACCAAACTAAACTATTTATTCGTATGAAAAAAATGTAACCTTTGGATTCATATTAAGTTTATATTCAATCTGCTCTTATATCAGCCAAAAATAATCTACTATGGCATGCAGCCAAATTATTTGTTTTCTTATACAACACCAAATATTAATTGAGCAAATGTTTGTAATCTGTTTTTTCTGTAACATATTCAGGTTTCATCCTAGAGTGAAACATAAACATCTCAGGTCTCTACTTTCATATTCCAGTTAGTACTGAATGTTGCTTCCATAGGGTTTTCAGTAGCAGAAGTTATATCAAACCCGGGTTTGCTATTAGATTAAGGAAAATGACAATGATAAGAGTTGCCAAAAAGGTCTTCTGAGTAAGGAACTCTCCAAAGGAGGTTACTTAAAACTGAACAAGATACACAACATAATTTAATATTCGCATTAAGCCTATATGCATTATTTCATATACTCAGCTCTAGATCATATATTAGATTTTTCATGGACAAAAATGAGTTCTTCCCAGGTATCATATTTTTAGTTAAGCAATCAGTGATCTAGAAGATGAATCTTAATTAGTATCTTCCAGTAAGTTCTTTATTCATATATCTTACAGTTGATGAATTTTCCAGGTGAAGTATCGATTTTTAAGTTGCTTCATCTTTTTAGAAGATGATTAGTTCCTTATCTTATTGATTCCTTCAAATTTATAAACTTCCATCATGATTGTACTTTAATCAGCTTAAACTTGTACTTGTTTTTATCTGGTCTGAAGTTTCCATGAACGCACTAGCATGCATGAATTGTTTAGGAAATTCCAACAGTATTTGACCAAGAGTCTGTAGCTTAGAGTCAACTAACTCGTAGACTGATCTCCATTACCAACTCAAATCATGGAAATCTGTGCTCATCCTAGTTATAACTTACTAAATTGTATAAGAGAATTTTCTTTTGGTTAGCTATTCATGTCAGCATCAGTCCTATAGAATGTATAATCAAAGTACCAATAAGAAAGTGAAAGAAGGAAAGCATAGCAGAAATTAACTTGTGGTTCTCAAATTATTGAATTAACCTTTTGACAGTCCTTTTGCAGACAAAGAATAAATCCCAGAAATTTCAGGTAGCAGACCGATAGTTTACTTTGTCTGCTTCTACATTTATGAGCTATAGGAATATCAAGCTTACACCGCTCAGATATATCCTTCGTTGACTATGTTTGTCTTTTCCCATCTTAGAAGGGATAGAGAGAAAACTTACAGAATCCTTGCTATTTCACATTTTTTTTAACTAAAACAAAATAAAAATGGTTGGTGTGACACCAATCTATCATTTGTTGGCTATCTTTCTCTTTTATTGCATACTCTTTTATTGCCTAATCACAGGGATGAAAAAAGAAAGAAAACCTCCACAATCCTATTTTACGTACATGTTTATTTTCAAACAGTTAGAAGAGAGTATTAGTTTAGCATTGGTTTAGTCCCACAATGCCTATGAGACTAACTTGTAACTAATCCATCTCTATAAATAATAAATTATAGAGTGAGGGAAATGCTCTCCAAGAAACTCTTTTCTCTCCGAATATTAACATGGTATCAGAGCCTCTCCCTAACCCTAACCCTAACCCTAATACTAATCCAAATTCCTAAGCCTAACCCTAACCCTAATTCCCGCCGCCGCCGCCCACCTTCACTTCATCCAGATTCGAGCAAGATCCGTGCAGATCCTCGTCCTCGCCTAGGGATCTGTAGTCCTAGGATTTGATCGAGGACTGATGGACGAAGAGATCCTCGCCGCCGTCATCAGGGGAGGATCTGTAGTCCTAGGATTTGATCGAGGACTGGTGGACGAAGAGATCCTCGCCGCCGTCATCAGGGGTTATGAATCTGAACCCCTTGGTACTGTTGAACCACTTCATCGTCCTCTTGGATCGCTCTTCAGCCATTGAAATCCTAACCCTAGGAGAGAAACAGAGAATGAATCCCCAAAATCCAATTCTCTCCCCTCTTTTCAGATATGCGAGTTGTACTAAAAAATAATAAATAAATAAATAAATAAATAAATAAATTATTATTATTATTTTTATATTTATATACATATATTTATTTATTTAACCTTCAGGTTAAATAATAAACCTTCTGGTTCCATCTTAACCTTCGGGTTCTTAAACTTTAACCTTCAGCTTCCATGTTAACCTTCGAGTTCTTGTACTTTAACCTCTGGGTTCTTGTATTTTAACATTCAGGTTCAAAATTAAACCTTCGGGTTCTTGAACTTGTTCAGCCTACTAGCTAATTCAAGAATTATTATCTTGAACTTGAACATGCTCTGATTGTTTCCATTTTGGAGTATAACTTGTAGAGGGTATTTTCTTGAACTTTACTCATCTATTTCATGATGGTCGGATCTGAGGAACTCAAGAATTCTGAGTTAACGGTCCAGACGAAAGTTTCAGAGATATTTTCTGATAGAATCATTGACAGGAAGTTTGATGGAATTAACCATTTTCAGTGAAAGCGTGTAATTGAAATCTACGTGGCAGGCCGAGGTAAAATTGGCCATTTGTTGACGGACCCTCCTACTCCGACACCGGAATCTTGGACATTGGATGATAGTGTCATCTTACACAAATTCTTAATACTATGGAACCTAAAATTTAGAATTTAGTTCTTCATTGTATGACAATGAATGAACTTTGGTGCTTTTTGCGAGATCTCTATGGGGGTAGCAACAATATTAATCGGGCATATGAAGTAATTCAAGAGCTGTTTCGTAATGGTAAACTCATGGATGATCATTATGATGAGTTCAATCGTCTGGCTGAGGAACTTCGTCAGATTTTTCCTATTACTGGGGATGTGAAACAAATACAGAACTAATGAAACAAACTTATTATACTCACCTACTTAGGTACCCTTGATTCCATTTACTCCTCTGCTCGATCACAAATCATGGAGAGCTCTGTCATTAGTTCTCTGACTGAGACTTATCACTTTTTGAAGAATGTTATCCCTACACAGTCACTTACATCCACTGCGGATCGCTCTACGCTTGCCACTCAGAGTTAACAGTCTTATGGACGAGGGGGTCATACTGGTGGTCCTGGAAGAGGTAGAAGAAACTTTGAAAGAAGGGGTGGCTACCACACTGATCGTTCTGGGAGCCGAGGTGGTCAACAAGGTAACCGTGGAGGTCCATCTCAAGGCAGACATGCTCATGACGATGACTCAGTGAAGACTTATAACTACTGCTACCAGTTAGGACATCTCAAATATAATTGTCCTGAATTGAAAAAGAAGAAAGCCAATGGTGCTTACATGACTGCTCAGAATAACTTCACCTCATCTGATAGTGAAAGTCAATCATAATCACTCTTCCATGATGCGAAGCTGCAACATTAATTTTAGCAATTTTAATTATTCTAGCAGTACCAGAGTTCACAAATATCGTCTTCCTCCTTATCCTCTACTCAAAAGTGTAGGTACCCCTTTATTTTTACTTATATCGTCTTCGTCTACTTGGATTATAGATATAGGTGTCATTGATCATATGACTGGGAATCAATGTATCTTGTCATCTTTCTCCCCTACATCTAATTCAATTATATTAGCTGATGGTTCACGTACACCTGTTCAGGGTGTCGGCAACACCAATCCTACTTCTAGTCTTCCTCTTTCCTCCGTATTCTATTTTCCTAGTTTTTCCTATAACTTTTAATCTGTTAGTAAGATTACTAAATCTCTAAACTGTACAGTGACATTCTTCACCACACATTGTATCTTTCAGGACCTGATCACGAGGAAAACAATTGGGACGGGACATGAGCAAAATGACCATTATAAATTAGAATTGGGTCCCAAACAGTTGGTTTGTATCGAAAACTTATCAGCCCTACAATACCACTATCAGTTAGGACATCCCTCTCTCTGTTCTCAAGCTTCTTAATCCCCTGTCCAAATCTCTTTTCTCATTAGAGTGAGTCGTGTTAACTTGGCAAACATCATCGTGTGTCTTATCCATCCATAAGAGGACTGCTAAGCCATTTGATCTTGTTCATTCTGATGTTTGGGGGTCATGCCCAATAACTTCTAAATTGGGGTTCATGTACTTTGTTAGTTTTGTGGATTATCACTCTCGTGTTACCTGGATTTATCTTCTTAAGTCTAGGTCTGAAGTGTTTTCCACATTTAAAACTCTTCTATTCTGAAATAGTCAATCAATTCAAGTCATCGGTAAAAAAAATTCGATCTGATAATGCAAAGGAATATTTGGATGACAACTTTACTAGTTTTCTTAAACAACATAGGATCCTCCATCAGTCTTCTTGTGTTTACACCCACTCAGCAAAATAGAGTTGCTGAACGAAAGAAAAGACATCTCTTTGATATTGTTCGGACCTTGCTATTCCATCGCTACGTTTTCAAAGAATTTCGGGGGGAAGCTATATTAACAGCATGTTACTTGATTAATTGAATGTCATCTTCTGTTCTGTAAGATAATTTTTTTTTAAAGTTCTATACCCCAATGATGATCTCTTTCCGTTTTCTCCAAAGATTTTTGGCTCTCTGTGCTTTGTTCATAATCATAGTCCAAATAAACAAAAGTTTGACTCTCAGTCTATTAAAGGCATTTTTCTTGGCTATTTCCAAAAGCATAAAGGTTAGAAGTGTTTCTGTCCGTCACTCAATAGTTTTGTGTTATCTAGCTGATGTAACATTCTTTGAAGATAAACCCGGTTATTCTAGTTCTTCATCTCCATTATCACCGGATGAGTATGACTATTTGATCTTGCAAGAGTCATTGGTTAACGGTGATGGTTAATCCACTGACAACACTATTTGCGCTACTAACAAAGACTCAGTTCGGTTTAACAACCCAATTCAAGTTTATCATTATTGCTTTGTTCCAGCTCCTGTGCCAACGTTGACCTTAGCACCACGGCCT